AATAAACGGCCAATATTATGCTAATGTTTTGAGTCCGACAACCCACTCGTTCACACCGCTCAGTTAGCGAGGGATGCCTTAAAAGCTACTGGATTTATAGAAATTGACCATCCACCCTACAGCCTGGATTTGGATCCCAGTGCCTTTTTCCTCTTTTCAAAATTAAAAAAGGAGTTACGGTTACGAATATTTCCGAACAATAATGAGATAAGGATAGTAATAAAAAGAAATCTAAAGAATATTTTTTCGGTGGGATTTAGGCATTGAACTCACGATGTCAAAAGTCACTTGACGCAGACTTTATAAAAAAATAAAAAATAAAACATAAAACTGCAAATTGCTTCATTAAGTAGTTTAGGGTGCGAGCTTTCCAACCGTCCCTCGTGTTTCACTGCATCACCGGGACAATTTCAGGCAGTAAAAATGAGCAAGGAAGGAATATTGAAGGCAAAGAATTAAATTATAATCTTATATATTGCACAATGCAAGCTAATTAGGGATTACCCTAATTTACTAGAAATCAGTGACGACCGTCCTTTCAGAGTAAAATCAGAAAACATCATTTTAGTATCCTTATGGTTTAATGGATTTGAAGCATCTAGAATTACCTCACTTTTTCTTTTCAATAATTAATAAACTTAAAAATGCCATAAAATTGTCAATTTTTTTTAAAATACTTAAAGCAGAATGCATAAAAAAATTAAGCCTCCACTAGTTTAATTAATTTTCCATTTTATATGCAAAATACAATTTATTTGCCAAATTTTTCTTTAATTTGCATATTCCTCTTCGTCACATTTTGCTCAAAGTTGACGCCGCGGTATTGTGGCATTCTTGACAGTTTCTTAGATTACCAGATCTCCTCATCAGACTTCTTATGGCAGGGATGGAACCAACGGATCCTGACTGAACAGGCGAGTGATCTACCACTGCGCCAATATCAGCCATGCAATCTGTTGTTGTGTTATTCAATTCATTATTAACCAACAACTATTAAGTGCGCAAATAGGGTCACACCTGCGTCTACATGATTTAGTAAGCGAAGTCTGGGTATAGATCCAATCCACAGCTGTGATGAAAATCATGGATGACATCCGTTTTGCTTTCGACGAAAACTTACTTACCATTTTATTGCTTTTAGATTTCTCTAAAGCTTTCCATACTGTAAACCAAAATATTCTACTGTTAAAACTGAAAAGTTATTTTGGTTTCAGCACATCAGCAATTAAGCTTATAAGAAGCTACTTATCGGACAGAAATAAGCAAGTTCAGTGGAGGGATGTATTTTCAAATCGCAGAAAAATCATCTCTGGTGCTCCTCAGGGCTCTACTTTAGGACCAATACTTTTCAGTGTCCCAGAAACTTCAGCCGCTACTAACGGTAAATCTTTGTGAAGTTTGTTTTTGTTGTAAATTAAAAAATTGGAGAAGAAGCTCGGCCGAAAATAGCTTCTGAAATTAAAAAGCTCGAATTATGTAAATATACAAATGTATATACATACATATATAATATAAATTAACAGCCCTTTAATATTCCGTCTCAAAGAAAATTTCACTAAAGCTTTGTTAATGAAAGCTTTGGGGGAAATCGCGTTTCTTATTTTTGATACCCGGATAACAAGCAATGCCAGTAGCTCAATACTCTTTTAATTGCTCATATGTATTTTTTTTTCAACGTTTGAGCAGGTGTTAGAGTATTTTTTTTGTTCAAATGCTTAGATAAGTATATGGTTCGTAAGGTTGAAAAATATTTTTTTTTAAATGTCAATATACCTTTGAATGAATTCAGCTACAAAAAAACCCAATCACAAATAAAAAGAGCAACGTAAAGTCCAACAGTGATCCCAACTATTTATTTCTTGAACTTTTTACCATTATTTAAAAAATTTCCTTCTGTATATCGTAAGAACATTTCGGAAAGTAGTAGAACTGAGTACGGGTAGTTGCTGAGGTATATAAAAGAGCGGCCAGTACGATGGGGAGTCGGTTACAAAGTGAACTAGGTGGCGACAACATCGGCATTGAGTGCTGCGAAATAAACCGTGTTTATATAGAGTTGTATGGTTAGTAAACTGTGTGAAAACAGTAGAGTGTTAGAATTGTACATTGAGTCGTCGTATATATTGTAGTAAAGCGAATTTATAGTTATTGTGTAATAAATAGAGATTTTTTTGAATTCTTCGCATTTAAAAATTGTACAACATATTTATTAAACTTTTATTTACTAATCCACTGATTGAACTCGAAGGATTTGGAAATCATTGAAGCTTATTATATCGAGGATTATCTAGCTGGAAACTATGTTGACTATGCTGAAGGGGTTGACTTAGCGAAAACGAATTTCGTCATGAAGACAAAAAACATCTACGCAGAATGTTTAGAAGGAGGAAGCTGTTGATTCAGTGAAGGAATTAGAATAGCCGTCTGCGGAAATTGAATAAATATTTGTTAACATGTCACACAAGATATTTAAGGCACACCCTCACGCACGCTGATTGGCACTACTTTAATTTCTCAAATTCCTGCCAAAGTTGCCACTAGAAGTAATTCGTTAGTTTAATTTCTTTTCATAGGGCATTTCTAGTTTAGAGTTTGACTGTCATTTATTTTTCTTTCGGCCGACTTCCTTCTCCAATTTGTTGTTTTACGTCTTAATGTTTTCTTGATGTTTCCCAACAAATGTAGGGAACTCTAGTTTGTACTAAGCTGCCTCCGAAATGCTGACCACACGGCATCACATCACTAATATCAAATTTGGACAGTATGTGCAACAGTTCTGCCGTATATTGATAATAATGATATCCCAAATACAATACTTCGAGTTGAATTACTGGGTTGTTGAATAGAAGTCCCAAGATTTGTTTTTCAATTGGAGTTATCGGTTTCTTTCTTCCATCTGACATTCGGATTTGCGTTTTCACCACAAAGCATTGATAAGTCAAAAATTTGCAAGACATAATTTTTTGCTCACAGGGTCCTTGATATGATATGCAATTGGTTTTCAAGTGAAAAAATATTTCAAATAGCTGAACTTTATATTTTGCTGCAGCCCCTCAGAGCGTGCCCTGAGTGCAATGAAAACTTTAAACGCGTTTTTCTTCAAATCAAGTTGGGAGGACAGATTATTCGGATCCTATTGCATCGGCTGACCTGAAAATTTGAAAGCTTCACAAAAAAATTTTTTTTTAAGTACCAAGGCGATTTTTCTATTAAAAGTCAAAACTCAATCTAAAAAAATGTGCCGCTTTCTCGAAAATTAGTTGGAAAATAATTCCGCATATACTTCCAAAGACCACAGTTAGCAGATCATAAAACTTTTTGCTTTACTGCTCTAGGTCTCATCCTTTAGAAGAAATCAGTCCCACCGTGAACGCATTTTAAAAAATATGGATTAAATACGGACTTTATCACCGCCATTTTGTAACAAAATAATAATTAAAGAATGAATTAATTTGCAATGATTCTTAGTACGTCCATCAAAACTCACGTCAATCCATTGTATACTCATTTGAGTGACGCTATGGACGCTATTAATTCTTTTTTACTTTTTTTCACAGTTATAATCTTTAAGTAAGCTTTAGTAAAAAAGTACGCGTAGTTTTGTTTATATTTGTTGGTTTGGAGTCAATTTTAGTATGGAACTTACTAAAGAACATTTTCGCCATATTTTACTTTATTATTTCCTTAAATTTCAGATGGGAGAAACATCGTGTCGATGTTGGTTTGTCAAATTCCATGAGACTTTTCACTCAGAGATAAGCAACGTTCGGGACGGCCAAGTGAAGTTGATGGTGACGATATCATGGCTTTATCAAATCGCTGATAAAATAAAATTACACTTGGTTCAGTTTTTCGAACAAAATGGAAATTACAAAATTGATTTAAGTTCGTTATAAGATTTAAAAAAATTGACTTTACTTTAAAAAATCGCCGGTTTCTTTTGGGGCTATTTAATTACTAATAAAACTTATTTCATTTTCTAGTGATCAAAATTTTATTTATCCTTTTTTAACATTTGTTAAAATATTTATAATATATAAGTGTATATATATATATATATATATATATATATATATATATATATATATATACATCATTCTTGTTAATAAGTAATCGGTGCTATATTGAAGCAATAAAAAATCAGTTTTTACATTGTCAAAAATGGAGGATATTAAATTTAAAAACTGGAGTGGACAATTTCAAGTGATCCCAGCACACCATTAAGTTGCTCTTACTCATTATCAGAATAATGTTTGCAAGGTACTTAGAAATTGTTGGAATTTTGATTGAAGGCTTTTGTTCAATAAGTAAGGAGCAAATAAACTTAAAAAGTGTCAATTAAAGAAATTATGAATATCAATTATGAAAGGGACATATATAACAAGGCATCATATTGTAACGATTATACTAAATCAACCTCGATGATTTTCTGAATCCTTCGGGTACTATTTCTGGATTGTTAAATAAAACTCGCCAACTTAATTTGCAGTTTCTTTCGTTATATAGAATTAAACTAATGTCCTTTATTTACTCAGTAATTCCCAATTCAATTACAATGCACTTTACCATTTATAATCACTAGCATCAACTTTCACAATTTACTTTACTTAAATGTAATTCCCAACGCGTTTACTTTACGACATTACCGATGTTAACGCCAACAAGCTCACTTTGTAACTGACTTAACTTGGCAGCTGTATGTCGCCCTTATATAGCAGTCGGCTGCTCGCAGACGAAAGTGTGGAATCATCAAGTTGTTCGCTATCGAAGGTTCTCGTTTAGAATGTACTAGTTATCGGCTTCCCTCTTTCATCTGACATTCGCCTCGCATTTTCTCAACAATATGTTGCACTATCATCATGAAAAGTATTTCTGATACGAAACATATTGCAAACTTTTTTTTTAACTTGGTTGTATGTAGGTGGCAGCGCTGAGTAAACTCTTTCCCTTACCGATAAATTTAATCGAGTAGCATGGCAGCACTTTTCTATTCTATCTACTTCGCTGAAAGTTTCTGACGCCATTGTGCTGAAAAATTTTTGTTCGTGAAGAAGCGGTGAAAAAATTTTGGTTATTTAAGCTATATTATAATAAAAAGTGTGAAAATTCAGCAAAGTTATTGTAATTTACAAAATTGAACTGAAAAATTGAAAACAAATGTAAGTAAAAGCATTATGCAAGATATACTAATTGCTAGTACTAGAGCCTCGTGTAATTGATTTTTTTTCAATTTTGCGAAGCCGGTTCGTTCTAGTACCGGAGGTTATATACTTTATACGATATCTCTGAAACTGTACTTACTGAACATATTGAAAAAAATTCTGTATGTATAAAATTTGCAAATGATTTTATTTCTTTATTTAGTCCATTTCAAAATGCGTGGAGGTCGTGGAGGATATAATTCACGCGGTTCCGGCTCTAGCCGTGGCGGTAATAATTACCGCAGTAATAATTATGGGCGCATGCAAAACTCTGGTGGGAGGTCCGGTGGGCGCGACGGCTATAATAATAACTACAACAGTAGTGGTAATTCTCGTTATAACAACTACAATTCTGGTGCAAGCGGTAGCGCTGGGCATTATGATCGATCTAGGGATCGCTTCAATAATAGCTCTGCTAGTGGCAGCCGTCATGATTCCGGTCATAAAAGGTCTTATCGCGTAAGTATTCATGATTATTGCTCTCATGTACAAAGGGCAGCTTTGAATATGCAGACAGTACAAAAAATTAATTTCGTAGGATTCTTCACGCGATCGCACTGATGATAGGAAACGCTCACGTCAAGACGTAAGTAAAATGAAAAATAATGTAGGATTTATTTAGTATTTGATTGAATAGGGAGTTAAAAATATTCCCTTTAATTTAATTTACTTATTAACTTTAATATTTTATATATATTTATGCACGAATAGAAATGTATTTAGAAAGGTCGAATTTTGAGAGACGTGAAACATAAATTATGCCATTTGCAACAATTGATAATAAAATTGTATAGCTCTGCCACCTTAGCAGAGGCAGAGTGTGTGCAGAGAGAAACTTTGCACTTGCTGTGTGGCAGAGTTGAAACGATTTCGGCCAAATATACAAAGTCACTGATAAAGGCTCTTGGTTATACGTATTGACTGATAAACCAACGTCGCCAATGTGATCACCGAAAGAATTTTAATGAGTCCGAAATATACGCAACAATATATGCAACATATGCTAGTATTGAGACTTAAATATTATATAGATGTTTATTTTGAAATGTGCTGGCAGAGATATATAAATTGCAACGTTGAATTTACATTGCTGTTCAAAAACAACGCATATTACATAAAATAATATTACTATACAGTCCGAAGGTGTTAGCAACGATTATATGTGTGTTATATTGTTTCGATGAGCTTTTTAGGCCATTTTAGCAATGCCGCAATGAAACCTCCCCTTTTTACCCATTTCCTAAAAAAGTATAATTAAAACAAATGTTCAAAACCACACAAAAAAGTAAAAATAATTGACTGAATCTAAATGCTCAAAACCGTGTATAATTAAAATTCTCTAAGAATACATAAAACCAAAAACATCCTCATCATCGCCAACAGGATTATAGACGTACTTCATCGACTGGACGTGGAAATCGTACTCCACCGCCCCCTCCGCCACCAATGGTTTCTACAGCCTCAACTTCAAATTACCGTAGCAGTGGTGGAGCTAATACATCTAGCAATTCATATCGTGGTACGAATTCACGCAACGATCGAGATGACTCCAATGCAAATTCCAGCCGTCATCGCTCGCCAATGGGTATACAAAAGCGTCCCATACGGACGGGCTATGTTTCAAGACCACGCGGAAATATGTCATCTTATCATCGTGGCGGCATGCGCACTACTTTGCTAAGAGGGGGTGTGCGCATCATAAGAAACAACAGGAATGAGGCAAACGATTTGCGCATTATGCGCCGAAAGCTGTTGTATGCCCAACAAAAAGATCGAGCGCGTGTATTAAAGATACAGCGCCTCACAAGGTAATTAGAAAAACTAAAAAAAAAAAAAATATAAGTAAAAACAGAAGGGCTGCATAAAAATTGCATTTGAGTTGACTTGAGTTAATTGTGTTGAGTTTTATGAAAATATGTTGAAGCTGAATAACAGAAAGGACTAATTATTTCTTAAATCATCTATGGAATTATTAAAAGAAAACACATAAATTGAAAAATTCAAACAATGCAAGATATGTTGAGATTACGTGATTTGGGTTTTGTTATTGTAGTTCTATTAAGAATTTATATATTTCAAACAAAACACTATAAATAGCTTGATTACATATATATCTACGTTTCCATCGCATAAATTATGAAGATGAAACCATAAGTGGCAACCGCCCTTATATTAGTTCAGAGAGGAAGGAATTTATTTTAAAACACTTTAAATCTTTATATTTCTAAAAACAACTGCTGAATTCATTACTCTTTGACACTTTTTGAAGCACCAAAGAGGAAATGATATCCAATATGCGAATTAATATGAAGGCAGAACCGTATGATCAATTCAAGCATATACCATAAAATATTAGCAGCTGATTGACTTTTTCCACTCGAAGCATTTTGAAAAAAAAAAAAATTAAAAATTAAACTTAAACCTTTTAGCATCAGAAAGTACACAATAATTTTGTTCATCAATTAATTTACAACTTTTGCGTTTGCGCTACATAAAACTAGCTCATTACGTCGTCGCAGGATAGTGCGTCGTTCGAAGAGTCCGCGACGTTCTAAGAAGGACGATTCATCAGATGACGAGGAGGATAATGACAAGGGCAACGATAGCGATAAGGACGATAACAAAAGCGACACGGAGACTAAGAAAAAATCTTCAAAACGCAGCACCAGTAAGCGTTCCAAGTCTTCGGAAAAAGGTGATGATGGCGAAAAAAGTGGTGGTGATGATGAAGATGATGATGGTGACAACGATGATGATGAAGATAATGAAGATGACGACGATGTCAAAGAGGGTTCTAAGTCAACAAAAAAGAGTAAAAAGGGTGAGGACTCATCGGCTGAAACAGATGATCATAAGGATGATGAAGATGATGAAGGTGGTGATGGCGAAGCTGAGGGTGATACAGGAGATGCCAATGGTGATGCCGAGAAAGATAGTGGTGAGAAAGAGGTAAAGAAAGAAGGTAAGAAAAAGGAGAAAGAAGATGATGAACGCAAGAAGGATAAAGCCAAGAAGAGTTCGTCATCGTTATCCAAGAAAGACAAGGATAAGGGTAAAGAAAGCAAGGAGAAACGTAAGAAGGATGAACACAGCGATGACGAGTCGGAAAAGAAAGATAAGAAGTCGCACAGCGCACGACGTGAAGATTACAGCAAACGCAGCTCGGGCTCACGTGTCAATTTGACATGTATCCATTGTCATACCAGCTGCTTCACGTATCCGGTAAGTTTGATACTAAAATATTTTTTGTAAAAGGTTTTAATAAGACCTTCCGATAAATTATTTTTGAAACTTTGCCATATTCTAAAACAATTTTCCTCGTTACATTCAGGATTATCAACAACATTTATATTCGCGCACTCATAAAAATGCGGTTCGTCAAATTTCCCTTCGGCAAAAGGCTCATTTGCTGCGTTTACGAGCTCGCCAACGTGCCGCACAGCGTGAGATCGAGGAGAATTCCAAGGAAGAATACGAATCCAAATTCTGTCATCTCTGCCGGCTGCATTATCGCCAACCCAAGGCTAAGCATCAATTGTCTGAACACCACAAGACAATGAAAAAGTTCTTAATGCCATATTGCTCCACTTGCCATTTGGCATTTAAGAGTCCAATGCTCTACGAAACGCATCGTTGCTCTTTAGAGCATTTGAAGGTGAGGTTTCTGAGCACAATTCAAGACTACCCAACAATTGTTCTTACCATATGGTTTTTTTACATCTTTAGCTTTTAAGGGTATATTAATTTAGTTTTTTTCTTTTTCTCAGCGTAAGGCGCGTAAACGTGATTCGGATAGTGACAACAGCGATGAAGATACTCGCGAGATCGATTTGAACAAATTCCTCACTGTCGATTCTGTGGGTGAAATTGATGAAATAGATGATTTAGATGTGGATGCTCTATTGAATGAAGGAGAAGCAGGTACAGATGGCGAAGAGACTGGCAAAGAGCGTCATCCCGTCGGCGCATCATTTATTAAGAAAGTAGATGCCTATTTCTGTGAACTTTGTAATCATTATTCAGTCGCCAGTGATTCTGTTGAAGCGTACGCCAAGAAGCATTGTCTACTACGGTCGCATTTGAAGGCTTTCCTGCGTAACAAAGACGAGGAAGAGAAGGCAGCTAAAAAAGCTAAGGCTAAAGAAGAAAAGGATGCTGAAAATGATAAAAAAGACGGTAAAAAGAAGGAAAAGGTTAATGAAGAGGACGATAAGGATGGTGCTGAAGGTAACGGTCATGAGAGTGGTGGCGAAGAAGGCGAAGAGGTGGCTGAAGATAAGCTTTGGGAAGACGTTGATAAAGATTTGGGCGATTTATTGCGTGAAGTTGGACCAGAAGATCGCGATGATGAAGAAGAGGATGAATCGGTGCTTAATATAGATATTGAAAGGTACGTTATATAAGAAATATTTTTATTTAATTATTGTTTTTTTTTTTTATAAACGTTTAACAAAAATTGCAGTGAAAAACCAAAAGTCAAGGAGGTTAACGGTAAGAAAGAAGAACCCGCTCCGACACCACCAGCACCAGCACCTGCACCAGTTGAAGTAAAAGAAGTTAAAGAGACAAAAACTGAAACGAAATCGCAAGCAACGCCAGTTAAACCTAAGCCACAGCGTAAAACAGTATCGAGTTCCAAGGGAACGAGCGCATCTAGTGAAGCTAAGGATAAATCTTCCGCAGCAAAATAAATTATGAACATTAATTATGCAATTTACATTCATAGTAAATTATGATCAACTTTATGTAGATTATATCGAATAAGTTTTATGGACTTAATAATATATTAGTAATTTCGTTTAATGCTGACAATGTATGACCTTACGTGCATAAACTGTAATTGTATTGAAATAAATACACATGATTAATAAATGTAGCATATGCATTTTGACTAAAGCGCAGTCGGATAGTCGTATTAATAGACTCGTATCGTTACCAAGCTTGCTGATGTAACAACAAAAATAAGGGGTAAAAAATAAATGACCTAAGAATACTTTCCAATATATCTTTCCTGGTACTTGGTAAAGGTTATTTGCATGTGTATAAACCAAATTGAAAGTAAATATTACAAAAGCGCAGCTGAGCACTAATATAAAAATGAAAATTGACAAAACTTTACAGAAATGACCGGCAACAATGGTCTATAAACATCGGACACTCATAAATCGTGTCAACTCTGTCAGAAAAATATGTTTATGTAAATTGAGCCGCCTAGCCTATGTTGCAATGCGGCTCAAGGGAGTTTTAGACCCCTCACCAACATGATGACGGCATTAATAACAGTTTTGGACGTGCACAATTGTCCATAAATAAAACTAACTGATTAGCGTAAGGAATAGGAGCAAAAAAAACACAATGTCGACAGCAGTAACAATTTGTTGCTCGTTGCCTATGGATGTTGTTGGTTTCTTCTTTCATAATATAATTTCAACGTAGTTTTGATTAAGCGCCAATAAAATAAACTAAGCAACCGGTGAAAAGCGGCACAGCTGTCACGGTTGAGTGCCCCACCGTCGAGTTGATAACGGGAATCGGCGCTCTAGGTTTAAATGTGGTAATTTTTTTTTTCTTTTTTTATATTAATTTTATTGTTAAATCGTCAACTTCACTTTCACGTCCATCTTCTCGCTGTGAACCCTGTTGTACGGCCGTGGTTGTGATTTCCTGTTGCAGTGGGTGGCGGCTGGAGAATGACATTTTTGCATGGGAATTCTGCTAATATACACATACATACAATGGTAATATGTATTTACATACATTTTTAAACATATTTCTTCCGTCATCATTTCCGGCGCTGCAGTTGGCTTAGATACAATGGATGGCGTTTATTTTTATATTATTTTTGTTTCTGCATTTCATAATTGATCGTTTTATTAGCATCAAACAAAATTTTCAATTCCACTTTCACTGTTGACGTGATGTCATCACGAAGATGGCGCCACATGCTGAATATGTCTATGTGCATACATTCATATATAATATATATGTATGATTGTTTGTATGTACATAGAGCGTGAGGAGCATAAAATATGAAGATTTTATGTGGAAAGGAAATTCCATCGCGGTTTGATTGCATAATTATGATGAATTTCTTGCAAGTACTATCGATACCAATCACAAAGTCATGGCAAGCGAAAATTAGTCAATGGATATATAGATTTGGGGTTATATTCATGTCTATATACTATCGTGGTAGTGGCTTGGTAGGAGTATGTGCCACTAATATCTTTACTATTGTCCTCAATGAGCATTATAACAGGGCGCTAGATAAGTCCCACGGTATGAGTATGGGCTACTACTCTTATGACTTTTGTCGCAGTTGTTTATCCATATAAAGAAGAGAAAGAGTCTGTAGGAGACTACATCTGCCATTGCAAAGCCTTGTTTGTGTAGAAGTTTATAGCTTTTTAGCTCGACCGGCTTTTCGAATTAGCTCCAGCAAGTGCCAGCGGGCTTCATACAACGTACTAAATGCTTTGAATAATCAGGAAGTTTAGAAGATGATGGGCGTATGCATCTCTTATGCGATTATAGCCCAATCAACAAAAGTTCGACTTTCGTAGAAATACCAAGTGAAACCAGGTCGATCTCGGATTGAACCTTCCAAGTTAGTTGAGGCCCTCGTCTTCTTCTGCTTACACCTCCGGCTACTGCATTGAATAATTTTAAAACTGCAGTGCTCTGATACATTCGCAGTGCACTATGTCAATGTCTTCGTATAACTTGTACTTCCCATCGTTCCATCGACTGTAATATTCGCCGTAGGCAGTGCATAAATGGCTATAAATCCTTCGCAAAAAGAAAAACAACGATCCTTGTCTATTTAGATCTGCAGCTCTAGTTATTTTCTTCAGCATCATCCTATCTGAAACACCGTTTGGAGCTTTAAAATCGGCGAAGAGGTGATGTGTCACGGATCTTTTCCAAGATTTGTCGCATGGACTGGGCAGAGCACACTTGAGTTCCAATTGCCGGGCAAGCTTTCGTCCGACCACGTTCTGTCATGGTTGATTAGCTATGTCGATAGACCGTCAGCTCCAGCCGATTTATTGTTCTTTAAGCCGGCAATAGCTATGCGGACCTCGTCATAGTCGTACAACGGAACATCTAGTCCATCGCCTGAATCGCTTTAACAGTCAAGGCAGAGATCAAGCCTCAAGATATGAAACAATGTAACAGATGACGGTTCTAGACAAACCAAGTCGCCAAACTTTGCTCTTTGTGAATGTTTGGGAATTCAAAACACTAACTCATGTCATTCCAGTGGATAACTTCATCTTCGTCAACCGGCGAATATTTTCAAGCTGGAGTGGTTTCGTTGATACACCCATGTACCAAATTCTAGGCAGCGGAGCCATTGTATATTTGTTCTTGAACTACGTTAATGTCGCCCTTCGTTACAACGTCTATAGCATTCAAAGTTGTTAGACTCATCGGATGTCGTCATCGTAGTAATATGGTAATATGCGACGCGAGAGAGCGTGGTCTTTGTTCATCAAATGAGGAATTTACTTTTGAGCTACCTTCTCAGTCCGAATAAGCAACAGTTGACAAGAGTGACTCTGCCGCGGATATCGTGTTAATCCATGGCCGAGAGTGAGGGAGGGAGAGTGGATCCACACCGACATCTTCTTGATCGATCTTGTCTTTCAATTTACATCCTCTCGCTACGCTTTATTGCATATTGGATTTGGAATCCGCCACGTAAATTTCAGCTCCAATCGGAAAATTAATCACCGCTCTTCTAGCACAAGTTACAGCGAAGTTGGTGGTTGCATTTAAGTGCAGAAATTAAGCTCTTGTGGGGATGGTTTTGCAGTTTTTGATAATCCGCCGATCAACTGTAGTTCTTCATTTCGAGATAGTCTTGTGAACGCTGAAACACTCCCTAATGTGTAGCGTCGGTTTATTATCTCTAGCTTTGGTTGTGAGTTAGCCATGGTTCGACATCTTCGTAGCCATTTAAAATCCAAATTATCACTAAATTAAACATGGGAACTATTATGAGGGCAAATTGGAATTTGAATGATGAACACATCAACTTACATACATATGCACATGCATTTCATCACATACCAGTACATATGCTGGAGTGCATACCTTCATGAAGCGCACATGCTGCCTAGACTAGCTCAAGCTAACTACTATGTTTGCATTTATGAATGTGGGAATAATCGGTCTGTACGTATATGTGTACGTATGTAAATGCAGTTATACGCATATTTTTCAATAAAAACTTTTTCAAAAGATTTATAGTTGCATTGTTCTACAGCTGCTGTTTATGTTGATTTTGATGCTGCAGTCGCGTCGATTATTCGAAGTGGCTAATCCGGTTTACTGAGCTCATCCATTAGTGTACTCGTACATACATACATACATACATACATACACACATTTATGAGCATCATTTCCATTAAAAGTGCGAGCGTTGATTTAGCGCTTCGCTTTGCTCTTTGATATTTGAAAGATCAGCGGGTGTACTCGATGCCACAATTGATGCATTTTCGAGGCAACTTATTGTTTATTGTTTTTGTTTTGGATTTTTTTTTTTTAAGCGGCTGGCTTACTACAATAAATCGTAACAGTTACCGCTTAAATTTATATATATACATTAAGGAAATGAATAAAGACATAATTGCATATACTTATGTATGTATGTATACGTGTAAGTACATACATTCATACGTCACTATTAATTTGTTGATTAACACTTGCAGCTTATTATTTACTAACTCATACTCGTACACACGCATGTACATATATGTATTGAAAGTTACGTACTTTAATTTAAAATTAAATAAAGATAATTAAAGTCCACAAAGACCCTCAATCACAGAAGAAGACCTGCACGCCTACTATGTGAGAGTAGACATCATAATTCCTTATAAGGGAGATGTTTTTAGGCATTTCAAGATCGCTACCTATCGCCGCTACAGAAACAAATAGTTTTTGACAATGTTGGAAAAAAAGCTGGCTCGATGCGACCCGGCCTGCAAGTGTCATGCGCGAAAATTATAAGAAAAGTTGGGGGAACTTACAGAAGGCTTCAAGATTGGAGCAATCTCATTAAGGAAAAGAGAAGGAAATCTGGTGACAGAAGACCTGAGCATACTGAATTAAGGGAGACACGCTCTCCAGTTGGTTGAATGGTAATGGAAATGAGGATATGGTAAACCTGATTTCCCAAAATAGATGGAGCTGGAAAAGACTATAACGAAGTTCAAATAGCAACTGCCCGCTTAAAGAATAAAAAAATGCCTGAAGCCAATGGCTTACCGCCAAAGCTGGTGCACTCACCAATGACCAAATTCCCCATCAGGCAACAAATCATGGAAGACCTGTGAAAGCTGCCAACGAATGCACATAAAGGAGCAACCTGTAGGCCGCCATGTCGGAATTTGGTATCACAGCAAATCTTTTACAGCTACGTGAACTGACGTTGGACAATACCAGAAACGCCGTCAGTGTTCAGACAGATCTCTCAGACAAGGTGACTCTCTATCGAATAATAATAGTTATAATAATTGACGCTTTGCAACCGCTGAAGCGATTTTCGGCCGAGCTCCACCTCCTATTTGTGGTTTTTGCGTCTTGCTTTTTTCCAACAAATGGAGAGCCCTACAGTTTATACTAAGCTGCCTCCGAACGGCTTATGATTATTTATAAGCAGCTTCATTTCATGTCAGAAATATACTCGGAGGGGTTGACATTCCCTGCCGAAAGGCGAACGAAATTATAAAATTTGTCTTAATTTCTCTATCGTATGACTTCTTAAAAATTGATGCTTAGAAAGTAATAACAGCTACAAGGCTAAATAGACAAGATACACGCTTCTATGTACATTAACTGGCGTATGCTAATGTTGATAACTTTGGT